TGGAAGGTTTTTTAGATTGATTCTTTAGATCCTGCAGTCAAAATTACACTGGTAAATAAGCTGCACTGTTACAAAGCCTACCTGCACTCTTGGTCTGCCTCAAGTTCTGGCAAAGTATTATTGTTGCTGCTTGAACATGTGACTTGTAATGTTTATGGATTCTGTTGCAGGAAGGTCATTTGATTCCTGTGAATTAAAAATGGATTTAGTCCTGTTACAGGGCACAGTAAGAAAGGATAGGGAAGTGCTGGGTTCGTCGTTAGACTTTGTGATCTTAGAGATCTTCTTCAACCTGAGAAATTCTGTGATTTTTCTCTGATTTATGCTGGATCATGGCCAGAGCTGCAGCCTTCAGTGAGGCTTTGGTACTGGGCTTTCCTGAAGAGGTGGTTCCAGCATATGGAACATCTCTGATTTGGATCTAGCCAGTGTGAAGAGAATCCAAAAACTGTTGTGAAGTGCCAGCAGAGCAGCTTGTGTATATCCAGCTMTTTGTTTTGCTGCATTTCCCAAGTCAATCAGAATGTTTTGTTTCATGTAACTGCATGTTTTGTCAGCTCTGGATAAATCCTTTTGCTTCCCTGTAGAGCATTCTGGTTCTAGCCTGAAGACAAGGGATGTGAAATTGGTGCTGCTCTCCAGGTGCCACCTTTGTYACGGTTTGTCTGAATTTAACATCTGGCTCTGCCCTGCCAGGTCAGGGAGGATGAGCAAACAACTGGCTGAAAAGGACAAGCATGAAGAGACATCTTGGCCTCACAATTTTAAGACTGTAAATGTATTTTAAATGAACTGTTAGCTTTTCCATCAGAATGGAAGTCCTTGCTGACCAKGCAAAACGTTCCRTGACAGAAGAGWTAAGGAAAATGTGTAAAATACCAASATTCGGTTTTTAGGAGGAGCTTTGYGTAGATTGATATTATTTGTGCTGTYRGTTKGTGAAAACAGGACAAGTAAGCAGCAAGACTATTGTATTGCAATAGAACACAGATTTACAGTAGGTCACAGACTGAAAAATACTATAAAAACATTAGAATCATCTGCTTTATTTCAGCTTTTTTACAGAAACTTGACTGTTTTCTGAGGTGTTCTATAGCCTGTGTTTTGCTATTCTAGCACCTTGCTGCAGGTGGTGGGAGCTGGCTTGTAAGGAAAGGGAACAGCCYGAATGTTTATTGTTAAACTGCAGTGTAAGAGCAGCTCCTGCCCTCAGGAGCAGGTGCCTGCAGTGCCCTGGGTGATTCTCACTGTGTGTTTGTTTCTCTTCCCCSTTTCAGCAACCAACATACGTTCAGGCCCTGTTTGATTTTGATCCCCAAGAGGAAGGAGAGCTGGGCTTCCATCGCGGAGACTTTATCCAAGTCCTTGACAATTCTGACCCCAACTGGTGGAAGGGAGCGTGCCGCGGACAGACGGGCATGTTCCCACGCAACTACGTGACCCCAGTGAACCGGAACATCTAGAGATAAATATTAGAGATTATTTAAGGAAAACCAGAGAAACATTAAATACACATACAGAGCCTAACTGCAGCCAGTGACCTAAAAAATCACACGGCGGTAAAACCAGAGTCACCTTTCACCGTGAGGTGATCCTCCTTCCCTCAGTACGGAACTTCAGGGGCGGGGGGGAAGAGTTCAACTTACACACCAAAACTTATCTTAAAGGAGAAAAAAAAAAGGAAAATAAAAAAAGGAGAGAGAGAGAAAAAAATGAAAATAACAAATTTCCTCAGCTGCTCCTGGGTTATCCCCTTTTATTCACTCTTGTTGCGAACGAGTGTTTTAAGGTCACTTAAGGTCTCACCACCACAACTCTTCTTGATTCCCCCTCCTCTTCTGTCCGTCAGTGCATGAAGTTTTAATGCCATATAAAGTCCTAGCCATGCAGTTAAAGGAAAAGGGAGAAACTCTGCTGGTATTTTCTCTCTCTGCAAACGGTCTTCATTTGACATGAAGGGACATGAGAGAAGAACCAAATCCACAGTCCTGCCTTTAAAAAAAAACAAAAATCATCAGTCTCTGCTTTTGCCTTCAACCTTCAGCATTTCTTGCCTGGGAAAGATGAGGTGTTAATCTAATTTTTATTGTCTCTTCTCCTTTGGCACTTTCTTCTGAAGCTCAGCAGCTTCCAAACAGAGGAAGGGAGAAGAGTTGTGTGGCTTTTTGTTCTATTTTTTTCTTTTGAGTCACAGAGCTGCTTTGAGAAACTCCAACGTACAACTGAGGTTTATTAATGCTGTGCTGACAGCTTTTTTGTTTTTTCTTAAAGGTGTACGGTTGAGCACATTCTGTAATTTTTTCCATAGTGCCTTTCCCTTATTTTCTTTTTTATTGTTTTTTAAGTTAAAAGGACAGTCCAGAGCTTTTCAGAAGGGTTTTTTTTCTGCCTACATGTAAATAAATACTTTTGTGGGAAGGGGGTAAAGGAGGGTGGTTTTATCAATGGACACTTGAGAAAAATCTACAAACAGAGATGGAGCTTTAATCTTCAGATTTGTCTTACTGTTCAACTTCYCTTGTTCCAAGGAAAATAAAATCAAGGCATTCAAGTGGCAACTTAGGCTGCTCAAAGGTGGAGAGCTGCAACCAGGAGCCTCAAAAGAAGTAAGAGGAAGGGAAAGTTATGATCAGGGAAAATGAGTAAGAATATTTTGGGGAGGGAGGGTTAAGGGGGGAATTCAATAAATAATAGCCCTGAGATGTCCTACAAAATGTACATTCCTTTTGTGGAAAACTTAATAATGCAGAGAAACCTCAAGAAATAGTGCTTGAAAAAAGAACTTTACGCTCTTAGTGAATGTTTCTATGTGATGCATGTGACCAGCCTGTCTCCTCGGCCTGGATAGGCAATATTTGCAGTCGTGTTGCTCTTGAGAAGTGGAGTTGGCATCCCTGTTCTCCAGTCTCTCCTCCCTCCTCAGGTCAGTGTTCCTGTTGAAGTAACTCCCTGCCCACTCCCGTTCACAGCAGGCTGTGTGTGACTGTTCTCTCCACCCCGCACCCCCGGGGCATTTCTGGTGGCCCTTTRCTCCTCACCAGAGCAGTGTGACATTAAATTGGACGGAAGGAAAGCAATCAGCCCGCAGCGCTCTCTGTGCCAATCTTCAGTTGTGTTGTTTTTCCCTTGGCAGCCGTTTGGCTGGATCCCTTCACCCCACCAACGCATCCCAACCTGCAGCGGAGATCTCCTCCCGCCCTGCCTCAGCACGGGCAATCTTTTGTTGGAGGGTGCCTTTTTTTGTACTAARTGTTACAAAAGTTTTATTCCTGAGATGGACTCTGCCTTACACTTTAATTTTCCAGCAAATGAAAGAGAGAGCTACCCTGTAGAGTATTACTTTCTCCCCCTCTCCTTGCTAGCTGTCACTCACTTTCTTCCCACTTTGTAAAGTGATTGGAAAAGGAATCTATGGCATTCTACACCTGGACCATTTGATTGTTTCCTTATTTTGGAATTGGTGTATATCATGCAGCCTTGCAGACATATGTCTTGTGTGTGTATATATATTAAAAAAAAAATTCCGTGTTTAAATAAAAAAAAGGCCTATGTACTTAATCCTTTAACTCTGCAGCAGCATTTGGTAGATAGTAATTAACTGTGAATAATAAATATACATTGAATTCTTCACTTGAGCATCTGTCTGTTATTTCAGTTAGCTGACCCAGGTGTGACCGAGCTCGTAGTTCAGACACTTGTGAAGTTTTTTGCTGAAAGGGGGAGGTGGGTGTTGGGCTGGTGGAAGCACAGCAGGCAGGCTCAGGCTGCTGTGGCTTTGGCTCTGCTCCATCAGGGCCCTGCAGATCGTTTTCACTTCTGCTACCTAAAGGAGAACAGCTCAGTTCTGCTACCAAGGTGTGTGAGCAGCTCTCTGCAGCTTCTCMGCAGCCTTTGCTAATGGTCAGAAACTGCCTGTGGGTATGAACGYTGTAATCAATTTTAATATAAAACAGGAAAAGGCCCACATGAGAATTTTGAGTGTTTTTTTTAACAGTTCTTAGTTGTTATGCTTAAATACTGACAATATCAAAGTGGAAATGCCTGGATATCCCTGCAATTCGTTCTGTATTTTTTCTTTTTTTTTGTGCCAGAAGTCAGTATGGAAAATTTGCAGTGTGGCTTAGAGCACTTGGCTTTTTGTAATGTAGCAGAGCATGWTGCTCCAAGGGGTGTGCTTCTGTAGTTTGGGTAGTTTAGATAATCCGGCTTCCCTTGTGCTTTACAGAGACAAGGGAAGGGTTGTTGCTCTGTGGTTGTGTGTAGTGGAGGTTGTGGGCCAGGTGCTGACCTTCCCCTCTCGCAGCGCTGGYTCACAGGACCAGGGAAGGASARCRGAGMTGGGGAAGGGTCTGGATCAYAAATCTCATGAGGAGTGGGTGAGGGAGCTGGGGYTGTTTAACCWGGAGAAAGGGAGGTTCAGAGGTGACCTTGCTCTCTACAGCTCCCTGACAAGAGGGTGCAGCCAGGTGGGAGTCTGGCTCTCTGCCCAGTGTAACAAGTGACAGGGCGTAATCTTAATATGCACCAGCGGAGCTTTAAGTTGGAAGGAGGAATTTCTTCATGGAAAGGGTGATTGGGTCTTGGAACGGAATGCCCAGGGAGGTGTCTGAGGAAAGACTGGACATGGCACTCGGTGCTGTGGTCTGGCTGATAGGGTGGTGTTGGATCACAGGCGGGGTTCCGTGGTCTCAGCGCTTTTCCAGCCTCGCTGATCCCGTGGTTCCGTGCACTCCCCGTCCCGCGGGTGTTGCGGACTCCGGGCGGGGCGGGCGCCGCYCCCGGGACTACAACTCCCAGCGGCCCCGGCGGCGCGCAGGCGCAGTGCGGAGCCGGCGCAGCGGGTGAGGCGGCGCGGCGGGAGCCGGCCCAGGGCCAGACAGCCCCGGTGCCACCGGGCTCCGCTCGGAACCCCCGCCGGTGGCTGCCMCGGGCGGGCTCGGGGGCTGTGGGGCAGAGGGGGTGGTGGAGAGGGGGGGTCTGTGTGTCCCGTGGGGTGAGGAGGGGGCTGTGGGCCTTGGCGTGAGGGGGAAGAGGCTGCCGGCTCGGTGTGGGGAGGGCTCACTGGCCCTGTGCCCCTGTCCAGACTGGGGACAGCCGGCAGGAATGGTGGGTTACGACCCCGAGGCCAAGTGCGTGTCCACGGCGGAGGCGGCTGCAGCGGGGTCAGCGTCTGGCTTGGTGACTCGGGTCCTTGTCAGCCCCTTGGATGTCCTCAAGATCCGCTTTCAGGTACCTGACTCGCGGCGTGCTCGGGAGCAGGGGTGGAAGAGCCTGTCAGGGAGCAGAGCTGATCCTGTCCTGGGTGAACAGGTCACTTGTGCGGCCAGAGAGCACTCAATCTGCTCGTCAGCCCTCACCTACGTTGTGTACAGGTTATGCAAGGAAGTAGGGCTATCTTGTGTCCACCACTTCTATTTATATAACTTAACTTGTTTGGGAATGGCATCTTGTGTTTCTTACAGTTTGCTTTTGTGAATGACTAAAACTATCTGACTGAATTTCATCATCATCCCTCCTGCTTATCTTTGTGTTCATGCAGGATTTTATTCTTTTAGAGCCTTTCATAGATAACATCCCAGTCAGATCTGGATGTGGTTCTGTGGGGAGGCAGAGTGTCATCCCTTAGCATTGGTTGGCTGACAGGATTGTGAATTCCTGAACTGGACACTTGAACGGTTGCAAGGTGAAATTGAAAATATTTTCTCCCTTTTCTTCCAGCTTCAGATCGAGCAGCTTTCCTCCAGAAACCCCACAGCCAAGTACCACGGCATCCTGCAAGCTGTGCAGCGCATCTTCAGGGAGGAGGGCTTGACAGCCTTCTGGAAGGGCCATGTTCCTGCTCAGTTCCTCTCTGTTGGCTTCGGAGCTGTTCAGGTGAGGGAACCAGGCATCATTTGGGTCGGTGTATTACACAGGATACTGCTCTGCTCCCTCAGGCCAGTTGTGTTGAGGAGTGGAAGGATATGTAGCTGGATAAAGCTGATGTGTAATTCCTTAGTTAACATTCCGTAACTTGTTGAACCTACTGGAGCACAACGAGACTAAACTGAGCTCTCTCTGTATCTGGTGTCATAGATAAGCCTTCTCTACTCCTGACACTTGGCTTAGCTGTTCAAGCCCCAAGCCTAAGCAGTTTTTTAGTCTTGTTCATGCTGTCACCSCAAGGGCTTGTTAGGAAGAAATCAGCAAAGCTGATGAGGGTGTTTTACACGGCGTTGTTATGCTTAATTTGTAAATATTAACAATATTAATGACAGTTTTAGGAGCAGTGGCTGAAAGGGTAAAGGACAGCATAACTGTAACATAGCAAACACTCTTCTGGATACATAGAGCATTCAAATGAGTTTATCGTGATTCTAAATGCAAGAATTAGGAGAAGTGTCAGAGACCAGAGTATCCCAAGCATTCCCTGGGCTGCTTAGTGATTTTTACACATTGCAAGTTGGGGAGGACTTTTGAAGGACAGAGAGAGAACTCTGTGAAAAGTGGGGACATGGAGCTCCTGGTGAAATGAGAGAGGAGTGGGAGATCTSTGTGAGTCATAAGGATCCACTTCCTGACCCGTGTGCTTTTGTTTCTGCAAGTTCATGGCATTTGAGAGCCTGACAGAAATGGTGCACAACGTCACCTCCTTCAACACCCGCGACTCCTTCGTGCACCTGGTGTGCGGGGGCCTGGCTGCCTGCACGGCCACGGTCGCAGTCCAGCCCGTGGACACGCTGCGCACTCGCTTCGCTGCTCAGGGGGAGCCAAAGGTGAGGCTCAGCATTCCATGCTGGAATTATCAGCCATAGCAGTAGCAATATTTCACGGGTCTGGAGATGCAGAAGTTTGAAAGCTCAGCCTGTGGGTTAAAATRAAGGAGCAGGTGGCTGTTACAGGCAGTGTTTGCACTGTTGCCAAGTTATCCTCTGTGCTATTGACGCAGATTTCTTAATTGTGTTTTGCTGCTTCTGATCCTGGCATGTGATCCAGAAAGAAGAAACTGTCCTTAACAGGATAACTTGATTTTCACTTTGGCTGTTGACCTTTTATAGAACTCGCTCTCCAGGCTCTTGAACATTCCATTTTTGAAACTTTCTAAGTGCTCAGAGTCGTGTTTAGATAATGATGGGGATGACACTTGAACCCAGGCACCTTTCACCTGTGTTTCATGTTCTTATTTACACAAGAGTTGGTCTCTGTACGCATTAGGTCTGTAATAATGAGAAAGATTTGTATCAGAGCCATTTCTGTATTTAGCCTGCAGGAGAATTGCAATATGATATGAATTCTGTTGCAGGAGTTAAGAGCTGTTAAAAGAAAAATAACCCTCTCTGTGGTCTCAGGACTCAGCTCTGTGCCCTGTTTCTTCTAAGTCACAAGGCTTAGCAGACAACACTGTGTGAGGGTGTGTACAATCACCTTGCACTTTCATCACTTTGTGCTGAAAGCAGTCAGTTGTATTTTGTGTGGTGAGAAATTCCTATTCCCATTACTGGGAAGTGACCTGACCTTTTGTTTTGCTGGTTTTAAGCCTGTTTCACTGGAGAGTCACTCARCCTCTTCATTGTTGCCCAGATCTACCCCAACCTTCGCCATGCAGTGATGACCATGTACCAGACAGAAGGRCCTCGGACTTTTTACAGAGGTTTAACCCCCACACTCGTTGCTATCTTCCCATATGCTGGTCTCCAGTTCTTCTTCTACAACATCCTGCAGCAGTTTTCCAAATGGGTGATTCCAGCTGAAGGAACGAACGGAGGTAGGAACTTGGGACAGTGATGTTTGCAGTTGGGAGAAAAAGAGGATGAATGCTGGTTTGGATGACAGGTGTAAGCTCCATTCTCAATCCTTTCACCCTTTTTGATACAATGTCTGAAAAGTGTCTCTATTTCCCACCTCTCATTCTTACTCCTGCACAGATACTGCCAAACTAAGTGCAGTGGAGTTTACAGACAGCTCCTCTTGTGGAATAACCGTGATGGAAATGGATGGATGGCAAAGTGAAGTGCCACAGGCCAGGGTGCTCCTTCTTGAACTGTGTCACGTTACTGATACTGTGGGAAGACAATGCTGGCATGATCATTCTCTGTTTCATTAGTGGTGTGGGTGATGCCTTAGGGATAGGACTCTTGGATTTCCATAGTAAATCTGCCTGCGCAGCTGTTAGAGGATTCATTTAGTCTAATTTAAAGCTGTCAGACTCTTGATGTTTTTATGTTGATTTCTTGCACCATTATAAGAGAACCTCACCCTGATGCAACCTGTGACCTTGACCATTCTAGATACCAATGCCTTCTTGAGAGAGAGGGATGTAGCATCAATGTGGTTTTGTTCCTCAATGGAATCTCTCCAGCAGAGGAATCGTCTTTTTCAGTATAATGTCTGCATATTTAATTTTAGATGGCAGAGGCTGATGGTGGTTTTGTGCTGGGAACTCATGTTTGTCAGGAAAAAGTTTAGCACAGGACTCATTTCCCTCAAGCCTCTGAAATCATCAGGCAGTGTCAGCTTGTGACATTCCAGTCCAGAATAAGTTGGTCTGAGCAATCAGGGGTGCAAGATTTCCAGTGACCAGTTTTACTGGGGGGAATGAAAACTTTTCCATCCATTGGCAGCAAGTCGTCTGGTGACTGGGGATTGGTTTTCTTTGAGCAGAGCAAAACCATAAGTCAGTGTAATGGACCAAGAGGAGCTGGTCCTCTGATTCCAGCATGTATTGTAAGCCTGACAAAATACAGATGAGATTCTTTGGCCCATACTATGCAGAAGAGGTGATATAACTTTAAAGGGCCTTTTTGACTTTACTTCCTGTGAAAAATGATTTTTAACTTACCTCTTAGGATCTTTAATCAGAATTCCCTGCTAATCCTCTTTTTTCCCTCCTTGCCATCCTTTTTGCTTTCTGCTTCTCAGGCAATGTTAAAAACCTTGTTTGTGGCAGCTGTGCTGGAGTCATCAGCAAAACCCTCACGTACCCTTTGGATCTGGTCAAAAAGCGACTGCAAGTGGGTGGCTTTGAGCACGCTCGGGCAGCCTTTGGGCAGGTGAGAAACGCTRGAAGTGATGGATTTTCATAAGTATGGAGCCAGTGCAGTGCACTGGAATGCAGTGACAGTCCACCAGTGGTACCTGTTGAGTTCATGTTTGGGTTGGGAGCTCCCACTGAGTGTTGCTCTCGTTTAATAAAGGGAATTTATGTGTGAATATATTGGGTTTRTTTTATGACACTGGCCAACATACCTGTGCTCTGGCTTCTCATCCCTCTCCATYAACTGGCTTGGAGCTGGGGATGAGTCAGGCAGGCAAAGGGGTTTTGATTTACTTTACTTTTCTAGTTGCAGCTTGGTATTTCTGATTAGGAACCACTTTACTATCAGAGGATGACACGGCCTCTGTGCTGGAGTCACCTGGTTGTCAGGTTCCTCTTCTGCAATTAATATTTTGACACAAGGAATAGGCACCAAATGTTCAGCATATATGAACTTACAATGTATGAGAATGCCGTGAAATTCATAACAAATTAAATATTCTGAGTTCTTTAGCACCATCGTTACCACCTTGAAATTCACTTAAATACAAATACAGATTTTTCAAGGAACTCTCTATTTTTGTGCCATGAAATGTGGAAATTTTCTGTTTTCTTTAAAATTCCTTGGATCTGAGAAGGAAATCATTCTGTACCCTAAGAAACTTGGGAAAGGATTTTCATGTCTCAGCCCATTGCACTGGATGTTTTTCCTCTTGCAGCAAGATACACAGTTTGTTCTTAACATTGTGTCACAAGATGTTAAACTTCACAGTGTGATCCGATGACATGCAGACAGCTAATTTGAAAACTTTCTAAGTGCTGTAGCTGTGTTTTCTTTCTGTCAGAAACTCAAAAATTGTCCCTTCTTAGAGAGTGAAGGGGGTGGAAAAGAGCAGTCACACAAGCTGAAATAATGACTTCACAAACCTGTGCCTTAAATTTAAAGTCATGCTGTTGTTGCATGCAGAGGTTTCACAGCTGTTCAATGAATGATSTGCATAAACCACTGCTAATGCTAAATATCTACATTTCCTCTATCCTGCTCTCTCTAAACTGTCTCTGAAACTCTCAGTTAGTTATAATATTATCCAGAAAGGCATCTCCAGGCTGCATGTCAAGATAATGTTTCTGTGGGATAGTTTGGGGATCTTTGTGGTTTTTTCCAGTTGTCCTGGGGTTTTCTTGTTTAACCTTGTTGCCATTCCTCTCCCAGGTACGGACATACRGAGGTTTCTTGGACTGTATGAGGCAGATCATGCGAGAGGAAGGCCCAGGTGGGTTCTTCAAGGGSCTCTCTCCCAGCGTGCTGAAGGCTGCCTGCTCCACCGGCCTTGTCTTCTTTTGGTACGAGCTGTTCTGCAGCCTCCTGTGYGCCCTGAAGGACCCCGAGAGCACAGGGAGGAAGGAAGGCTGAAAAGGACGTGTGTGGCTGCCTGCTGTYCTCCTCAGGAGGGGAGACTGATGGCCCTGCTCTGGCACGAGCGTGTTGGAAACAGCAGAGCTCCCAGAGCTGCCCCAGCCTGCRGGGAATCACCTCCTGGGACCAAGGAGAAGGAAACTGCAGTTCTGCTGGAGACACTGAGCTGCTTGGCTGGAAGCTGTTCAACAGAGCGCTTTTCTTCTGTCTCCTCTCATATCAGTGCGCATTTAGTGGGGAGAGGGGAACCAACAGACCACTTGTAGCAATGCCTGTGCTCTGACAAGGCACCCAGTAAAGAGGGTGAATCCCTGAGCTTGCCCTGGATCCCAGAGAGGGGATCCTGGCCCAGCCTAGTGCTGTTTAACCAACCAAACACCACTTCTAGCACTGCATCTGCACAGCTTTATTCCCTTGCTCTGTGCCTGCTGTTGGCACCAGATTCTTATCTCTGTGTTCTACAGGTCRCTCTGTCCTGCTGATGTGAAGTCAAGTAAAGCCACGTTAGTGCACAGACCCTCAGTTTTCCTTTGCTTTGCTGCCAGCTGCTGCTCCTTGGTCACCACTTGCTGGCTGTGCATTCTGTCATCTTAAACACAGCATTTTCTCTGATCGTGCTGGACCAGATTTGTTCTTCCCTTAACTCCAGTGAGCTTGATCRTATCTTGAATTCCTATTTCTCTTCCTGGGTGTTGGGCCATACATCTCTTAGGGGTTTGCATTGCCTCACTCACACTTTTTCCAAGCAAACCTGCAGATTAAGMGCCCCACTCTGAGGGGATTCAACGCACAAACCCAGTTATTACTTCAGGGTTCTTTTCTTTAMAGCAGTGAGCAAACAAATGCTGTATAGAGTTAAGAAATATTTAGTCTAAGTTGAAATAATGAGGGGAAAGTCCTGTGGAAACTAATAATTTTTTAATTATTATTTATTGAATAGCACCTTTGAATATGTATAGCACATCTTTCTATAGTGGCCTCAAAACATTTCAGAACCTCAGTCGTACAGTGGTGCCAGCAGATGAAAATGTTTTGACAAGATTTGCTGAAGTGAAAGGAATGAACATCAAATGGGAATTGGTTGGCTGAGCGTGTTGCTTCACATGGGTGATTGAATTAGAGATGGAGGAGTGTTTTTCTGGAGTTTCGAAGGTTTTATGAGTGGTTGAAAAACCCAGCGAAACAATCTACCAACAACTCTGATTTATGTAACAGTGGAAAAGAGGAAAATTACTTTCTTCCTCCTGKTTTTTTCTGTGTTTTTTCAAGCCAAGTAGGGTGTGGTTGGACTGTGTGGAAGGCAGAATTCCCAGCCCTGCCGTACAAAAGCACGTTAGTCATCTGAAGGGTGGATAGGGCAGAGCACTGCAGTTATTTGRAGGGTGGTTTGATGGTTCTTCTCTTAACACAGAGCTTTTCCCATTTCTTTTGCAGTATTCAGGGTGTTAATCCCAAATGGTCTGGCCAAATTCCAGCCTGACCAATTCCATTCCATTGACGCAACTTCTCCTGGCGATTTTGAGCATATCAGCATTGCTGACTTATCCTGAGCTATTGTGAGAGGCTGTTTTTAAAGAACAGCTGTTTCACTGGTGGCTGAGGTATCTGGAGAAATTCCTTGCAAGCCCAGGCCAAATAACTTYGTGTCTGCTGTGCATTTGAGATCTTGGAGTGCAAAGTGGCCATTTCACTGCAGGTGGCTGAGAGCTGCGTAAAATTAAGTTCATTGAGCAGTGTCTGTGTCAGGCAGGAGCCCAATATGTGAGTCTTAAAGAGGGAGTGTGAGCTGCATATTCTCTAAAAACGGTAGTTCTGTTTAGAGGAGACAATGCAGGAAATGTGGAATGAAGTTTCTTCAAGTGCCTCAGTCCTATTGGCATTTTCCTGTGTTATTTAGGGTCTTCTGAGGTTCCTCAAAATCTTGACAATGTTTAGCCTTTGTTTATTGTTCACCTGTTGTTCTTGGAAAGACATCATAAGGAGTAATGAACTCAACCTCATTACATCCTTCTGAGGGAGAGAAATGTCTCCTTTCAAAACAGACACAAACGAGTTGGGTTTGTTATTGTCTTTTGTTGCTGGTGAGAGGAATGGCGTCATGATTAGCAGGGRCAGGCCACAGCAGAAAATGTTCAGTGCTGACCTAGGCTTCCTTAGGAAATGGGGACTCATCCATCCTGTCTAAACATTGCAAGACTTGTTTTCCACTTTATGTCAAAGAGCTGCTGTTAAACTGCACAAAATAGGGGCAAACTGGATGAGAACTGAGCCGTAAGAAAGAACAGGAAGGTCTGTGCTCTGCTAAGGTGGTGTTCCTTGAGTGTATTATGGAGTTTGGGGTGATCCAGGCATGGCAGCCTGGCCCATGGAGAGTATGGGGCAGCTTTTCCTCTCTGGAGTAGTTTTCCCCTCCATTCTGTATTAAGTTTGTCTCCACCCAACAGATGGCAAAGCTGGAGTTTAAGTTGTGCCTGTCTGGCCAGGCTGTAGAAGAGACACTCCCTGGTCAGAGAGAGAGCTTTGGGCTGTGAGTCACAAATGTTGCAGGCCCGTAAAGGCATCTGGGCTTCCATGAGGGGGAGAAAGACATGACAACCTCAACAATATCAGGAGCTGTATCCAGCAGTTGCTTCATCTCTCAGCTCTGATCAGCAGCATCTGTCCCTCATAGATTCCTCATGTGCGCTTTGCTGGGGAAAGGACCATAAGAGGAATGAATGTTGTTTTCYCTTTGGGATTGAGGCTGAATGAAGCACTAGGAGGACAGGTCTTATTTCTCCTGCTGCTYTGGCAAAACACACTATTAGGAGCTAAATTTCTTAGAATTAGAGAGCAGGAGATGGGAGAGATCCGTGTCACCTTGTTTTCCCATGTGCTGGGACAGATTTCCTCTTGGAAGCTGCGTGCTCCCGTTCAGTGTGAAGTGACTCGAGGCGGCGAGTGCCTCGCTGTGAGACTTGGCCGATTTTGGCCGCTGGGATTTCTTTCCAAGCTAATCCTATCACCAGGGATTTGCCTGCAGTTCACCTCACAAGCTGCTCAGCAGTTACGTTTGTTTTCTTCCAGTGCCTTTTACCAYCAGAACGTCCAAAAGCTCCTTAGCAGGCAGAGCACTGGCGAGGAGTTGTGCCGTGGTTGTTTGTGGTTTCACCATGGCACTGACCGGACTCRGACATGCAAGATCTGTGAGGACAACGCTGTTTCCTGCAGTGCTGACTGGCTCACCGAGTTCCTAGGACAGTCCTGTTCTCAGGRTGCCCATCCAGAGTTGCACAGCATCATTTTTGACAACAAATGAATGTTTTACAGTCAGAACTGGAATGGATCGTATTTAATTAGGATTTAAGTTTCTCTTGTGATGTAGAAACTGTAACTGTGGCATTTTGCTGTGTTGTCTGAGTGGATCTTTTGCAGCTGCTGTTTTCTGAAAGCATCCGAGCACAACATACGCAGTGGGTGCCTACCTTTGAGACAAGGTACATTAAATATTTTGTTATGCACTTGTCTGGCTGCAGTTGGTTTATTCCTTTCCTCTGACTGCCTGTGCTGGACCCTGCAGGAACATTGTGGCCCTCCTGCTGCCTGAAATGGAGGATAATGAAGGTCCAGAGCGTGAGGCAACAGAAGCCATTTGGATTTCCCTTCTCATTATTGTGTGTGCTCCTCAGCAGTAGGCACAACTGTACCCTCTGTCGGGTATTGCTATTGAGAACTGCACCAAAAGGGATCAGCCAAGGGGGATTTGTGCAGCTCAGTCCCACTGCTGTGTCCTAGAGGGGCTTTTGGAGCTCTGGTGGAAAATCCTGAGCCTCACATCCTCGATGCGTGAGTTCAGGCTTCATATCCAGCCAGGCCAAGCAGTGCTACAAAAAATGTTCCGAACAGTTCTTTTCAGCTGTTCCCTGGTTTTAGCAGCCTGGCTGCTCTGCTGTGAATGCTTCACACCCTGAGGGGTCTTCCCTTGTGAAATGGTTGGGATTTGAGAGGAAAAACGTGAAGTGTGTTATACTGTACTCAGCTCTTGTTGCAGGGCATTGCTTTAGTGCATCTCCCCTTTACTGACTTTTTTTCTATGCTTTTTTTATACCACTCGTCTGCAGCCTGCCCTGACCCCGAGGGGAGGGCGGATTCACGCCGTTGTCACCCGGAAAGCGCCGGGAGAGCCCCGTGGGGGACCGGGACAGAGAGGTGAGTGCTGCCCGCGACCCGCCGGCGGAGAGGGGCCCGGAGGAGCAGCGACCGTGCCCGGGGAGTGTGTGGGGGGAACCCGGGGGGCAGCCGGCCGTGCCTGAGGGTGCCCAGGGGAACGGGGACAACCGGCCGTGCCCGGGGGGTGTCTGGAGGGGCAGCGGACCGTGCCTGGGAGAGCCCGGGGTGTGCCCGGGAGTTCCCCAGGAGCAGCCGGCCGTGCCCGGGCTCAGCCCGCCGTGCCCCGGCGCTCGCAGGCGGTGGCGCTGCCGCCGCTGCCGCCGCTCTCCCGCCCGTCCCGGCCCGTCCCTCCCCCGGCTCGGGCGAGGAAATGACCTAAGAGGAAACCTGGGCTGTGCCGGAGGGCGCGGGGCCCGGGACGTGCCGGCGATGCCCCGGCGGCCGGAGGACACAGCGGGGGCGGCCGGCAGGTCGGTGGGGMTGCGCCCGGCTCCCCCTGCCCTGCCCGGGGCAGAGCGGGGCTGCTTTCCCCGGGATCCGCCTCTGCCTCCGTCCAGAGGCCCTTGGGCTTGTGCCAGCCGCGGGGCTGGAGCGACGGGAGGCAGCGGAGGGGGTTCCTGGGGGGCTCCGGTGGTCCAGGTGCCCCGGGCCAGAAGCGTCTAGGCGCCGGGGGTTCCACCTGCGGCTCGGCGGGGATGGGGTGGGGGTCCCGAGGGGTGGTAGAGCCCCTCGGACAGGTAATATGGGGTGGCAGAGGAGACTCCCTGCTCTTCTCCCTCTCCTTRTAGTGGCCAGGACTTGTCCAGCCCATCCTGCCAGGTGTGAGCCCGCACGTCACAGGTGTCCTGGCACCTGAGCTGGTGCATCACCGGCAGATGGAGGGTGCTGACCCCAACCGTGTCAGTCCCCGGGACAGCTCGTCCTGCAGGGCCAGTGGCAGAGGAGCAGTCGGTACCCACATTTGCCCCATGTCCCCAGCCCCTCAGACAGCGCGGTGCTGGCAGCAGGGTCTCTAGTGCAGACGAGGCATGGCTGGCTYGGTGTCCACACGCTGTGGTTTGCTCTGGGCGGGTTTGTGGTTTGTTTGGCACAGCAGTTCAAGGCAGCCGTGGCTGTCCCAGGGAGCCGTGGGGACAGACGCTCCGGGAGCGGGGCTGGGCGGYGGTGGCACAGACGCTGCCAGACGGGCTCGGGCACTTCCCGCTGTGCTGCGTGAGGTTCTGAGCTCTCGCCGGGCACTTTCTGCGTGGAGATACTGTCGGTGGGACACGGGACTGCTCCACTGGCACTGCAGCATGGCATGAGTGCAGGAGCAGAGAGAGGACAGGCGTCTGGAAGGCGTTTGCCAACCAGGCWTGGCACGGAGGGCACCCAACTGCTTGTGAATTCACCTGGGAAAGAAACCTTTTGTGCCCGTCCCAGGGTAGGTGAGAGCTTTGGATGTGAGAACAGCTCGGCAGGCTGTCACCCCCGTGGGGCTGCCCTCTGCTCTGAGTTACTGTTGTGCTGTGTGTGAGGGGAATGCCCACCGTACCTGTCCCATGCCCCYAAAGGCTCTTGGGCTTTGATCTGGSTAKGGACCTCTTTGCAGAGAGGAGTGAGTAATTGCCGAGGAATTTTGATGAGCTGGCAAAACTCATTTGGCCGATTGCCTTCTCCTGTTTGTGCTGCCGGTCTGGCCAGCCCCAGCATTTCACATCCAGCAGATCCTCTGGTGTGCGAGTCAAAGCAAGCCCTTCCTCTCTGCGCCGTGCGTACCCTTTTGCTGTCTCTGCTGTGTCACGAAGCAGAAGAAAATCAATCTAGAGGTTATTTAGGAGCACTGTTGGTGCTGCAGGAGCAGTGCTTGACTGCAGAGGGAYGAGATGGGAGCTGTTGCAGTTGGGGATTTGGTTCTGAGTTTGCTGTGTCGTGCTGTGAGCTGAGGGAGCCTGTCTGTGGTGAAGGAGAAGTGCTCTGGTAAGCGTGTGTTCAATGCTTTTGTGCTGGCTTTGGTTCTTCCCCGGCTTTTGTATGAAAGCAGCTGAATTGGTGTTTTAAAGGCCCAAGGGAGCAATGTGTGCTTCCCTGTGATACAGCCACGGGGAAGCATTCTAAGGTGATATAGGTATATTTTGGRTCTGCTTTGTCTGTAACATGTTTCTCATACCAGAAAAATACAGAAGTTTTGAACATGAAGTTCTATCCTAGGCTGATGTGGGAGTGAGGATTTTCTTGGCTCTAGGGCTGGAATTGATGCCCTAATAACAGGAATTTCCTTGGGGTGAGGAGTGGTCAGGAAAACAGCCTGTTCTCCAGCACTACCTGGGATTTGCTGAATGGCAAATGGTGGAGGTTTCCCTCTCTGTCCAACTAAGCCCTGTGTGCTCTTTCCACAGGGACTGTCACTAACTCATCATTGCCCTAACTCTCGCCCTCGGAGGACACCAGTCATGGGGGAAACAGGCAAAGAAGAGTACAAAATACAGTCCTTCGACTCTGAGACTCAGAAGCTGCTGAAAACAGCCCTCAAAGGTCAGCAGGTTTTGATGAACACCTTTGCCACGTGTCGTTTCTGCACTATTTAACAGGATTGTACTGGGCCCTTGATTGCTTTCCACATACCCCAAAGCAACTGGGAGCCAAAGAGGGCTGGGTCCCGACAGTATTTCTCTTCTCTGCAGACCCCAGCAACGTGGACCTGGAGAAAGTGGCCAATATTATAGTGGACCAGTCCCTCAAAGACTGCGTGTTCAGCAAGGAGGCCGGGCGCATCTGCTACACCATCATCCAGGTGAGAGCTTGTGTCTGGGCAGAGAAGCACCTGGGCTGTGTAGTGTGGGTTTTCCCTTGGCTGGGCCAAAAAGAGCTTTGTCCCAGCCCTGTGCTCTGACCCCTTGGCCACCTTTCCTCTCCTGTCACTTGCCTCAGGCAGTGGCAGCATCCAGAGGAGCAGGCCAGCACAAGCAGTGAGTTGCAGCTTTTCTGCCTCTTAGGGAATCACAGGAGTGTATGTGTGGTTCTGCATCCTCTAGCACCCATTTCATCCCTCCATCCTGCTTTTTCTGGGCTTGTAGGCAGAGAGCAAACAAGTTGGCCAGAGCATCTTCCGGAGGAGCCTGCTGAACCGGCTGCAGCAGGAGTACAAGGACAGGGAGGAGCTGCGCACCCGCTCGCTCCAGGCCTGGATCTGCTACGTCACCTTCATCTGCAACATCTTCGACTACCTGAGGGTGAGGAGACAGAGCAGGAGCACCCAGCTGCTGCTRCCTGGGGTGCCAGAAGAGCCTGAGCATCCCAGGATACCAGGGCAGGGGTGTTGGGTGGATGTTTTACAGAGCCCCAGGGCTGTGGGGGCCAGGGCTGGTGCTACCTACAGACAAGCAGCAGGCTTGGAGAGGCAGAGTCTTCAGGAACAGAGTCACAAAGTCTCAGCTTCCTCATTGGGTACCTGGTGTTTGAAATCCCCTCATTTGCCTACTCCCAGATGTCCCAGATTGGACTGGTTTAGTTGCTGTGGGGTTTGCTGATGGAATTTGTCTTCAGGCCTTTGTGCACTGTGTGAACTTGAATTTCTGCTTGCAGCCGATGTCAAAATGATGCAAGTAGAGCYGCAGGCAGGAAAAATGCTGTTGGAACAAGTGTATTTCCCATGACTACCTGCTTACATTTAAAAATAGATGTTTTTTACATCATTTGTTCAGCTCCTCTGGTTCCTGGAGACTCGAATGTCTGATCTCTGATGTAAATCCCACTAATACAGCACAACTAAATCCTGCTCCCTTCTCCTTTGGAGAGCAGCAAGGGAATAACTATTTAAAATAGCTGCAGACTGTTTTCTGGCTGCAGGCTGGCAATCCTCTCTCCTTGCAGGTGAACAACATGCCCATGATGGCTCTRGTGAACCCAGTTTATGACTGCCTGTTCCGGCTGGCACAGCCCGACAGCCTGCAGAAGGAGGAGGAGGTGAGTGCAGGGAAGAGCTGCTGATGTGCCTCTTGTCCTGCCAAGGACCTGTGAAAAGCACAGCCCTGGGGGTGCAGAGGAGCCTCCATTGCTTTGTGCTCAGCCATCTGCTCTTCCTTCTGAAGGTAGACTGCTTGGTCCTGCAGCTCCACCGCATTGGTGAGCAGCTGGAGAAGATGAATTCCCAGCGGATGGAYGAGCTCTTCTCCCTCCTCCGAGATGGTTTCCTTCTGCAGGAGGGGCTCAGCTCCCTGTCCCAGCTCCTGCTGCTGGAGATCATCGAGTTCCGGGCTGCTGACTGGAAGATGACGGACGCTGCCCAGAAATATTATTATAGCGAAGTGACGGATTAACCTCCCGCAGCAGAGGAGGAGAGATCYGGAACCTTCACCAGCAAGCTTTGTACTAAGTTGGAATTTTTCACATTGATTTTCTAGCACTTCCTGTAAATAGGATTTATACTGGCTAGAGCTTTCTGTGCACCTCCTGTCAGATGCAGCTGGTGCTGGTCTTTGGAGGCTCACAGTGGTGGGAAGGGCACACTTAACCCAGCACGTTCTCCCACTGATTTTGTCTTAATATTGGGCTGCTGCCAGCAAAGGGCTCGGGAGGCTTCTAGCTCACACCAGCATTTTCTGAGTGTTAAAGAAAGCACAGTTTAGGCCGAGAACATTTTGCTTCACCCCAAAGCCAGCAGAGCTGTGGGAGGCAGTGTGGAAATCTCCCAGCTCAGGTTGTGCCTGGTTCTCTGGGACAGGTCACAGAACACACCGTGGCCTCACTAACAGCTCAACCAAGTGCTGTTTTTCCCAGACTCCTTCCAGCATCTGGCTGCACCTGCATGCACACAGCCTCTCCCACAGCCAGGAACACCTGCCACGGGGCAGCCTGCGACAGGAGAGGTCCATGAGCACATGTAGGAACGGGTTTTATAGGTTTTATATAATAAGTCACTTTTTTCAGAATTTTGCAAGTTTCAGCTAGGGTATGTTTCTTATAAGAATGGGAGAGGAAGAACTTAAAAAAATAGTCTATTGAAGGATTTTTTTCTAATAAAAGTTTTCCACTAACATGTGCCCTGCTTTCTCCCTACGCAGCTGCTGAGCTCTGAGCAATACTGAAGGGTTGCTCCTGACTGAAGCCCTAAGGCTGTGATAATTCAATTTCTGCTCCAGTGTAGGGCCTCGGGGCTGTACACAACCCGGGCAGCTGGAGCAACAGAAACAAAGGGCTGGAATCAGGAAACCTTTCCCATAAAACTGGTTTTATTTCTCGTTAACATTCACATCAAATCTGTGCAGACAATGTTGCTGATGATCAGAACTAAAAATCGAAAAGGGCCTTTTATTGCCCATGGTACCAATCCCTCTAAGGCTGGTTATGCTGTGGAAGAGGATCCAGCTCTGCTCKTAGCTTAGTGCAGCCAAAAACATTGCTGATTTCTAGAGCAGAGAGACTTGCAGATCCCCAGGAAACAGGTAAGTGAAAGATGGTTTTGTTTAGCGCTGCTGTAAGAAAAACATCTAAGGCTTGTCTTCACAGGGAAGTGATTATGAAATAACTGGAGCATCCCTGCTGGGGCCAGTAACTCAGCTTCCCCTTCCCCCATCCAACAAGCACAAAGAAAAACAACCTTGTGGGGCTCATGTGAGCTTTCCTGGGTTAGATGAGAAGCTGCCTGTGAGGGATGTTCCACCTTTCCCTCTCCCAGGCTGGCAGCCCTGCAGCTCTGCTCCCAGGCCATGGCAGCGTGTCCTGTGCAGGGTCCCTACCACCAGCGGAAATGGGCGTACGCCCGGTTGGCCTCTGCCATCTTGTGCAGGACGTGCTTCTTCTTGATGACRGGCCCCTCGTTGTTGAAGGCCAGGAGCAGCTCCTGGGAGAGCTTTTCTGGCATCATCGTCCGGCGGTGCTTGTTCTCCCTGCACTCGGTGATCAACCACTTCATGGCCAGGAAGCGCTTCCGATTGTCCGTCAGCGGGACAGGCACCTGGGGAAGGGTTCAACCAAAGCAATTATCAGCAACTGCTCCTCCCCAGCAGCCACAGCAGCAGCAGCTGGCACCTGCAGGGGTTCACTGTGCTGCTCTCTGCATCCAAACCCACTCCTGACAGCTCATCGCTGCCAATTCTCTGCTCTGTCCATAGGAACTGCTACCAAAATGGAAATTCTGGCCTGTGTGGGAGCTGGATCCAGGCTGGTTTGTGTGAGCAGAGATGGGAGATGGTSACCCCATCCCTGCATGGARTACAGWGAAGTCACAGAATCACARAATGATTTAGGTTTGTAGGGAYCTTAAAGATCATCTCATTCCAAATGCCTCCACATCTCACCTCTCCTTCAGGCACCAAGGGCTGCAGAGCCTGTACTCAGAGACMGGTTCTGCTCATGTTTTAAAGATCACACTGGATCTAGGTGATGCTTTTTGCCATGCTGACCTCCCCCAGGCCTTGGGATGTGTCCCCAAGCAACATSAGGCAGTGGAAAGGATGGGACTGGTAGTCCAAGGACTGCCTTTTCTTTTGCTAATGATCTCTGTCTCCTTGGAAAATACTTGGTGGWTATTTTTCCAGACATCTAGTCAGAGAAAGAGACTGCTGATTAATGGCTGGACTTATCTTAGAAGTCTTTTCTAACCTTAGTGATTCTGTAACAGGGGAGTTACCATAGGTGGGGATCCTGATCTTGGGTGCTATTTTAACCAATTGGCTCTTTCTAAGGAGAGGAAATCTTGATCTGAAGGGGTGGAAACCAGTTCATCTGCCTCCCTAGKTAACTGTCTCCCAACACCACCCAGATGTGCTCCCATCCCCCCTTCTCACCTGGTATGTTTTGCCTCCTCTGGTGATGCTGCTGAGCCCGATGATGGGCTGGCAGTTCTTCAGAGCCTGGTGGAAAATGGTGTAGGGGTTGCACTCAATTGCYTCCTTCTCATTTTCTGGAGCTTTGTGGTACTTCTCCAGCTGCTTCCTCTTAATGGCCTCTAGAGTCTTGGGACAAAGGCAAGAAARGAGACAATGCAGAGCAGATGGATTCTCCACTCAGTTACTGTGAGAAGGCTCAAAGTTATGTCATCTAAGTGGCACATTTGTGGGACTTCACRAGCAAGTTATAAACAAGATAAGATGCTGGAAAGATGATCTTTAGAGAAAATTATGCTTTTAAGAGTATTCTCTGAGTTTATGCAGTACAGAAGGACACAGACATACCGGAGGGTGGAAAGAGAAGGCTCCCCATGAAGCTGTCACCTAGTTTGTGAGCTGAGGAAGCTGGGGCAATGTACCCCTTATCAAACAAATTCTGGTTTATCAGAGGAATCGTGCTGAGAGCAACATGTGGCAGAGGAAAACACACCAGGACCGCACAGATGGACCACCTAAGTTCTGGAAATTCCCAATTCTAGTGGGTTTGACATCCCAGCCTTCCATTTTGTCTTGTTTTAACATAATAGTGAGAAGAAACATGARTTCTTACCTGAGACATGAGGCTTCTGG